ATAACTGCCGACGAAATAGACTATTGATATCGGATTAAATCCAGATTAAAATAATAAATAACTAAAGTAGGAGTGGATTGGCAATTGCATAATTTTTTGCTTCAAGCATTGGTTTGGTAGTGTGTCGAAATACTCTTCACCGACATCTCCATTTTTTATTTTTTTTAATCACTACATTTCTGGGCCAAAATTACCACTATTTTACTTGTTACAAATTACTCCTCATGCGATTTCTTATTTGTTATCCATGATAATATAATAAATATCTGCTTAAAGCAGTGTCCATTGTACAATTCCGACTATGTCATTAGCAGGTGTTTATGAATTACTATCAAATAGTGATGCATCCAGGTGTTCGCGAAACGGATGTTCTGCAACACCTGTGATACCCATCACAAACGCATGCAAGTACAAGTCAACTGTTCATCCTACAGGGGACACGGGAATATGTTACATGTCAAAATAGGGAACTGTAAGACATAATTTTGATCACAGATGCGTCGCATGTGGAAATGTCCTCCACATGTCAACCATAAAGCATGTTTAACCCTCATGGTGCCTGGACGTCAGTCAGCCTGCAAACCGCTCAGTGCCACACTGTGCTGACGTCGCGGTTACAAAAACGTATACATTGTATCAAAAGTGTTGCAACGTCTTTATTTCTTCACACAATGTAACCAAATTGTATAACATGCAACTCGAGTTGATTGTCTTTCCAACAGTATCTAAAGTCACCAAATCCAAAAGATCTATGCACTGCCCAGCCATCGATAAAAGTGCTTGTATTATAAGTTTCCTACGTTTCCACATTAATCGTAATATGGACGCACCGGAATACGGCAAGCAAAATCAAGTAAGCGCCCTTGTTTGAAATCTAAATGACCAATAATTCATATCATTGGCAAGTACATGTCCTAACAGTGATAGACATATGATATTTATGTTGAAGTACACATTCACTGCAAATTTTCCGTGAGTTATATTTACCGATAAAAAATCCCTATGAAATTGTGCGTGTTTTTGACGTCAAAACAAAATTGACGGAAGTGGTCGTGATTAATTCATACGCAGACTGTTTCAAAGATTATGTCACAAAACGAATGACAGTTTGGAATGTATATCTTGAATAAATCCCGGTTACGTCCATGTATGTTTCAATGACCGTGCTCTTTTATTAGTGATAAAAACAACTTCGGGGTAATTGACATCGTACATTTTCAAAGGACAAAATGTGAAAGATCGCTAAACAGCCCTAACAATACTCAAATTTACATCGCTCAATATCCGCCATCATTATTATTTCTTAATAATAAACAAGATTATACTAACGTAATACCACCCAAAAGTAAGTACATGTAGATTCAATCAAAATTGTTGAAACGTTTTCATGGGCAGCAAACTATTCAACAAACCTATTTTCGATCACTCGCAACTCGGGCGCGTTATGTCATTGTTTCACTATGACCACCAGAAAACATACATCTTCGTATCAGGTCGTATTTCGCACTTGGCTGCCTAACTTTGACCTTTGCTCAAAATATACTTGTATGGCCATTCCATGAAATACCACTTTTTCTTTCATTTATTCATTTGATTTATAAATACGACTTTAGAAGTGTATTTACACCTAGCTAGGTATATACATGTACATTTAAGGACATACGTGATAGTTTATTTCCACTAGTTTCCCATTCCATCCCATTCACTAAAGGAAAAGTTTGAAATAGATAATGATCGTAGGCCAATGAAAGAAATGGAATTATTTGTCATAAAAGGAAAAATATATTCTTGGTATTGAACTTCGAAAATTTAACCAGCAAAATCTTTAATAAAAATGGTTTATAATGTCTTTCCTTTTTTTCTTAATTTTGGCCTAGCTAAACAACAGCTTGGAGGGAAGATATACAAATTAAAATGGTGAAAAAAACCCACAAGATTAATGTATTGATTTTGCTCTTAGACAAATATTTATTTAAAAAGAAAATCTATTTCATACCTAGGATACAAAACAAAGTCCCAGGTAGAATCTAATTACTACTATGTCACTGGTCGAAGTATTTGGTAATTTAAATAATGCAGAGTGAAAAAAGACATAAATATAACTATATAAAAAATCAAAACGGAGTCACATTTACACTTAAAACTTTTTGTCTTTCAGAAATTGATTATCTATATATTGTGATAAATTCTAAATACTTTTACTGTGTATGTTATTAATTGAACCATTCGAGATTCCAATAGATGAAGCTAAAATATTAAAAATCTAGGTGGTTTAATATTGGATCCATTTTGACAGCTTTCTCACTGTACTCAACTAAATGCATATTATTTTTGGGGAATATCAAGCCTTCAAACAGATATGAAAAGCACGTCAACATACCAAAATTAGAAAACTGCGCCAAATATTCTAACACTGTTAGTCAAATGATAAGCGGTCTCATTCACTCGTCGGTCGCCGTAGACATTTTCCAATCGTGATGTACTAGATATGCTTTCTAGTTCAGTCAAAGAGAATATTGTTATTTGGAAAATGTATCCATTATACTACCACAACATTAGATCAGCCGTTTCATGTGACGTCATCCACGTCACAACACGCGAGGTCAAATCACGCGCACCTGTCCAGACGACAAATTCACAGCGGCGGGAAATCACCGACCGTCTATTAGCCTATTTGAATAAAATTGCAGATTGTAACGAAATAAAATTAATTGTACTCATTACTGACATTTCAGATGACATATCAAATATGAGTTGAAGACTTGAAATAGATTATCATACGTTAATCGAGAGTACAGTGTACATAAATAATTTGTAAATCTAATATTAATTTTTGATCTAATATCGATGGCAGAATGTTTGAAAACGAGCTATGATATATTCCATTTTCTGAAGAGACTAGTAATGTGTATTTGATGATATAAATGCATACACAATTGGTTATCAGTTATCTTCTACAATCACAGCATGTACCATGTACATTAGACTCATGGAAAATACTATTTCAGCAAACCAATCACAGCGCCATTATCACAGTTTCAATGAAAGGAAAAACAAATCGAAATCGAACTTAACAGCACACCGTATCCATAAGCGGTTAATCCAAATACAAAAAGGTATTGATGTCATCATTGTAGAAGTTATGTAGTTGTATTATGCTTGTATCGCGTGTACCATCGACAGAAACGGGGGCCGAGCTACCACATGTAGAACCGACCTTGACACAATTTGTTTACAATATGGCGACGACTCACGTTTTGAAATCTCCATTTGCGACAAAATGTGAAACAGTTAGGGCAAGTCACTCACACGGTCAGATAGTTTGAGCAATCACATATGACTCTTAGTCATTTCATATAAAAAAGTAGCAGTTACTTGTCTGAACGGGCGAGTATGTAGGACAACCGGTAAACAAGAAATCGCGGCACAGATATGATGCGAACGTGCCCTGTCGTTCCACTTCGTGCTTGGCCATTAAATGTTTAGGTTTTGATCATGAACCTCCTGCCCATAAATATACACTATACCAACTTAATATTAACGATTATAGCTATCTTTCCATATCTTTGATTTGTATATTTTCTGTAAATCAGCATCATAAACAAAAAGATAATCTGCACTGTCGGTTGGTATGTACCGCCGTGCTAAATCGCCATGACACACAGTCGATAAACATATGCAATACTTGAACAAAAAACTTCCGTTGCCGACTAAACGTTTGTACTCTTACGTCAATAACTGTACAGTGGGTACTAGTAAACCTTTCTGACCAGTCCGATCAGATTTTTTTTTCAAATTGGCTGTCTGATATAATAATAGTTACGTGTATGTGACATGGGTGCATGATAAAAAAAATGACTTCATTCGCAATGGCAGAAAAAGATCGAGAAGCGCGGTAAACACATTACTAATCTCGCCATATTTCGCAATCCGTAGCACTGCATAAAATATTAGTTACACGATATTAACGTTGAGATGATTAGGGTGATGATGGTTATAAATTCATTCAATGAACGTCATAAATGTAATGGAAATATACACTGTCGTTTTCTCATGTGTACCGACCATTCCGCCATTACCGAGAGTCGATAAAAATATACAAAACATGTAATAAACTTGTTCATAAAGGAGTGAACAGAGTTGTATTTACGTGAATAAGTATACAGTTGGGAACAATATGTCTTTCTGACCACTCAGGTCATATTTTTTCTTATGAACAAGGATTTTGTCTGAAAATATTTACGTGTATGTGACATGGGTGCATAATCAAAATTCGCCGTCATTCGCTTGGTGTTCAAACATGGCAGAAAAAAGGCGAAGAAGAGCGGTAGTCACTTTACTAATCTCGCCATATTTCGCAATCCGTAGCATTGTATAAAGTATGAGTTACACGATTTTAAAGCTAAGATGATTGGGGTGATGATGGTTATAGTTTTGACTTTGCGCACTCAGTGTTTGATATCAAAATTCACAGTTTAAAAAGGGCATTTTCTCGGGACCATATATGGTCCCCTGGCACTATGCGGGTGTGAAAAGTGAGGGACCATATATGGTCCCGTGGCACCAAGAGGGTTAAAGCTTCACTAAGGGCTGGGATAGTGTCGCCCTGATCACACATCAAACAACAAAACGCACCATAGGAGGCGGTTTCAATAGTCTCCTCTCTTTACTTCACATGGGTAAATCAGTGGAAGGAAATTGGCTGTTTGACCATTATTAAACGACATCAGACCATCGAAAAACCTGAAACATAAGTTACAGTCCTTGGCAAAATTCTCTGTTTTGATTTTGCCAATCCGTTTGAACATTCTGACCAGACCAGAACGGAGAGGACAATTGGTGCCCATGGGGATGCATATTGTACTTCAGATGGTATATTTACTTTCAAATTTGACAAATTGTCCTAAACTTTTGAAGGAAGAGATGTCATTCTCTGTTGCAAAACTGCAAAGGTCACGTTATCTACGTTCCTTTTTGTGTTTGTCATGTGTTTGACTTACCTGTCAGCATCTTCCGTTAGCAGTCGCTCTTGATCCTTTTTGTCTCCCGCCTTTTTCTTCCTGTTTTAGACATACATGGAAACGTCACGCTAAATCTCCTGACGTTTTGAAAAAAGTTGTAATGAGATATGTAAGAATGTATGTGTGTTAGTTCTGCTCGCGATGTGGCTGAAATATGGCACTGCCGCATCAAATATGTACTCGCTCACTACTAACCACTGCAAAATAATGTCGAGCAATATCTTATGCTACTTCTGTAAAGGTTATCTTGGTGAATGACTTCTTCTCCATGGAAGATGACAAATAGGTCTGTAAACGTTTATAATCAAAATACAAAATACACCGAGGTATCACGGCTTGAGATATTGTTGCAGATACTTGTCATTGTCGAATCACAGATAATCGCGCTAAAGCACAAGTCAACAATGTTAATGCCGCTGTGAGCATGATCGACTCCCATGGGAGAATTTCATGTACTCACCGTGTTTATATGTAATAATTTCTTTGCACTTAAAATCATGTCTCGAACTTAGGTAGAGAGAGTTCACTAAACTATTCGACTTACATGAGCCGCCACAGAAGCAGTATCAAGGCGATTAAAGTGACCAGTACCAGTAGAACCGCAGACAAAGACAGGCGCAGCAGGACAGCTGGAAAAATAGTTATAGAATGATGGAATGATATATGACAATAGATTATTGAAAATGATATTGTGTACCGATCAATTAGTATTCACATTAGTCTCAGGCCAAATGCAAGAAAAGTGCCCATCTAGTAGGATCTAAAAGAAGCAGTAAAAGTGTTATCCAGTAATTAGTATGATACCTCCCATGGCTCAGACACACCATCACATGCAGACAATGAGGAAGGAGGTTACAATGTATCCTCATTCACAAAGTAGTTTCACAGATAACTATCCGTAACTATCAACAAATGGGCGAAACCATTCTTTGGTATCTTGAGATAGCGCTCATAAAATAACAAAGTGATATTTTCTTCACAAGTAAACATTTTGCTTGAGTAATTACACTTGATGTCTATAAGTCTATAAATCACCTGGTCTCCTTCCGTGCGTTTCTCTACTTTACGGTGGTAAAATTGCGCTTGCAATCAATGCACATAGTATCTTTTATTGCTCACATAATTACAAACAAAAAATTAAACACCCTTTCGTCCACATACTATAATTGTTTATTGTGCTATATACCATGTATGTACAGGGTATGAGATACGACAGGTAAGATAAGATAATATTTATTACAAAAACAACAACATTCCATTACGGAATAGATGCATTATTTAAATGACAAAACAGTAAGATTCATACATACACACATGCACGCACGCATTTAAGGAAAATGTTCATATTACAGATTTGATGATATTATACATTAAATGTCATAGGTTGATAATGATCAATGGATATTTATTGCTTATTTGAGAGGATCTTGAGAAATAATTTGTTTGCATTATTGTGGAGATTTACATTTTGTGGAGATAATTTTCTAAAGAGCATATTCTTTTCGTGAGCGTGAAGTATGTAGTGGATTTTATTATCACTAGTTGAACAAGTAGAGCATAGCCTCTGGTGTTGTTTAATTGGTGGCTTTGTATCTGTACCAAGTTTTAAAGTTAATTAATGGTCACTTAATCTTAATTCAGGCAGGTGCGATCGATATTTACTTATTTTATAGTGACTGGGATAAGGTTATAATTTTAGTTTAACTATCCTGTAAGTTTTTTCCTATGCCTTTAGTTGCCTTAGCACCATGAAGAGATTCGTTGAAGATCGAGTTGAGTTCAGAGTTAATTGTAGGAAATCTGAATACAATGTTCTTTTGGAATAGATTGAGTTGGTATACGCATCCCAATAGTTTATTCACCAAAGATGTACTTTCAACAAAAACGTTCTGAAGTAAAACCTTTTTTTGAAGAACCAACATGGTGATAGAAATTCATTATTTTTATTACTACTGTGTAAATAAGAGGTCTGTTCGGCTTGCCCAGTTGATTTGCTGACACCTAACAAAAATCTGAGCTGCAGTTTCTCGGGGATGAACGAATCAGAGTTGTTCTGGAGGATTGATTCTTTACTCAAGATTTCACAAATACATAAGATTACGATCTTCCCAAGGCAAGAGAGTTAACTGACTATAAAAGTCAAGTTTCCACCATTGCCGAACTAGGCTGGAATTACTTGGCTCGATCGTAGCGCCACCAGTGGTTATTACCAGTTTTGTCCCTTCTAAGCCTCTCCTATGGACCAATCAGATTACACCTCTCATATCACTTGCGTTTGCTTCACGCAAAATGGTGGCCCCCAGTCAAAACCATCTGATCGATAATTAAGATCTATATTGTGATAAAACGGATCTTACATCGCGAAATGCATCAAATCACGTGAGCACCTTGATTTAAAACATGAAAAGATTTGGAAAATATCTGCTTACAACGAGTTGGCGGTGCACATGTTTTGCAAATCCTGCAATCGACCAAAATCTGCACGACAGTTTACGAACCGGATTTCGATTTCGGTGCGCGAATTTGATTGGACTATGCATAGACTCGTTAGTCCAGCCAAAATGTAACTCCATAATACCAGCCTAGTTCGGCAAGGGTGGAAACTGGACTTTTATAGTCAGTTAACACTCTTGCCTCAGGAAGATGTAAGATTACTGGCTTGATGAATCCTTTGACTAATTTGCAAAACGTTATAGGTATATCTTGGTTAAATAATGGTAGAGTGAAGCTTGTGGAAGGCCTTTGACCCTTTTTCAGGAGAAGTTTAGCACTAATTTGCTTCAAAGGTTATTCCTGAGTAATTACATCTATCCGTAACTAGTATTTTTGTATCACCCACGATCTTAGTGTTATTTTCGTCTATTTTACTTGATTTCCCATTTGTCGCAGAAAATACTCTCAGGCCATCAAGTACAATTTGTAATTGTTTGGCGGAATCGGCATATAGTACTAAGTCGTCGGCAAACCACCATTAGGTGTTATATTATTACTACCAGATTTGATATAATGTGGAGGATCATTGAGGAATATATTAAATAATATGGGAGAAAAAGTGCATCCTTGTCTTTCCCCGATGTTGGATTTAAAAGATTTTGATATGACCTCTTAGTTTTCACTTTATAAAAAATATCATTATGTAGTGATGATATTATTTCCAACACACTTCCTGTGATTTTATCTGATATCAGATTTGTTAGGATTAGTGATCTGTCAACTGAGTTGAAAGTCTACAAAGCAAGTGTACAGTTGTTGTTTTTCTTTTTACATTTTGCAGAATCTATTAATGTTTTAAGAACAAACACATTATCTGACTTCCTTAGCCAGACAGACAGTGGTCTTAAAAATCTATTTTTCATTAATAACCTTGATAAATAGTTTACCCAAGCAGCTGGTGATGATTTCAGGTGTTCGCGAAAAGGTGAGCATATCACGCCAAACCGGTTGAACGCATCACAGACAGGTTGCCCAGCTCTGTGGGAAGTGACCACAAGATATTGATTTAAAAAATTCATGTTATCTTTTGTTTGTTTAGTTTTATAGAAGTGAGAATGTCATTGGCTGGTACTGGTATATTAAGACTGTCACAGATATGCATATCTCTATGGCTTGATGAAATGTGTAGGTTATTCGGAGACGATATCTGTGTTTTAGTGGATTGTTAGCTCCTTATCATTAGGATAAACAGACTCCTTCTGGGATGACATTCTAAGTTTATTTAATAGTGCCCAGAATTCCTTTGGCTCCTTCCCTGGCAAGGTTCCGAGTTGTTCTAGCTGGTTTTGTTTATATTAACGTTGTGTTCTTCTGAGTAACTCGTTGTATCCTTTTTTGGGGGGTAAAAAGAGCCCTATTTGCAAATGATACATTGTTTTCGTTATTGAACTCGTGATTCTTTTCCTCCGTATTACAACTTTACATTCAACATCATACCATTGGTTTGTTGGTAGATTTGATGTACTTGTGCAAGGCTTTGTTGATCGTTATTGACGGATTGTCAGAGAAGGCATCAACGAGTGCTTCACATTCAGAACTATCTTGTGGGCTGGGGGTTAACATAAACTTGTTTAAGGCAGTTTGAATATTTAACCTAGAAGTAGCATGTTCAATACAAATGGGACAGTTGAAATGACAGCGTCTTCTACCCCTGTATTTAGTAAAGGTTGCATTTGGGGACATGAATATATACTCTTAAAAAAAAACACTTTTTGCCAAATATCTAAAATAATTATATTAAATGAGAACCAAATAAGTCAAACAGAAACATGATGTGTCTATAATTCGGGAAAACACATGCAATGCACATAAACGTAGCGTTTGGGGATCAATTTTACAGCTTCATCCAAACGCAACCGCCTGTAAAAAACGTGCAGCATAGGATCCACATCAACGGCTGTTCATACAGTCCTTATAACGGCAGTAGAGGCGGTGACAGAATGCCAAGACTGAATGCAGCTCAACGGAACAACGCCATTGGGAGATTACAAGCTGGAGCAACTCAGCAAGAAGTGGCCAGGCACTTTGGTGTATCCAGACAGACAATCTCCGCACTGTGGACCCGATACAACAACACCAACAGAGTTGACGACAGACCAAGGTCAGGAAGACCAAGGGTGACAACCCAAGCACAAGATCGATACATCCGGCTGCGACACCTCCCAGACCGCACTACCACAGCCACGTCTACAACCACACAGATCCCTGGGGTACGCAGAATATCAGATCAAACAGTACGCAACAGACTGAGGGAGGCTGGACTTTTTGCACGAAGACCTGTTAGACGTCATGTATTGACCCAACGTCATCTGGCGGGCCGTCTGCTTTGGTGCCAACAGAGGGTTAGATGGGCACGTGCAAGGTGGAGAAATGTACTGTTTACTGACGAGTCCCGTTTCCTACTCACACGTGCTGATGGGCGCGCACGTGTCTACAGACGTCGGGGTGAACGTTACGTCCCCAACTGTGTGCAGCAGGTTGTCCCATTTGGCGGCGGGAGTGTCATGGTATGGGCCGGAATTCATCACGGTGGTAGGACGCCTCTTGTGCATGTGGCAGGTGCATTGACAGGTGTGCGTTACAGAGACTTGATCCTACAGCCTTACTTTCTTCCTCACGTCAACGTTCATGGCGGACAGTTCCAGCAGGACAACGCTCGACCGCATATTGCACGTGTTTGTCAGGACTTTTTACAGCACAACAACATCCAGACATTACTTGGGCAGCCCGGTCACCAGATTTGTCCCCGATTGAGCATCTGTGGGACGAGTTGGATCGACGCTTTCGCAGAAGGAATCCACCGCCTCAAACACTTCCGGCGCTTCTTGATGCACTTCAGCATGAATGGCAGCACATCCAACAGCGTGTTATTGACAACTTGATTGCATCTATGGGTCGTCTGTGTCAAGCGCTGATTGATGCACGTGGTGGGCACAACCGATACTGATATTTTCTGTACCCCTGTGACATTAACTGTATCGTGTACGTGTGTCTGTCTAGGTGACACAATTAATGTTTTGAACATTGTGTACATTGATCTTCAAACAGTGTTTCAATTATGGTTTCTGTGTCCTATTTTGAAAGGATCGCGTTATATTACATTTTGAAAGTCAGTGTCATGTTTCTTTTTTTGAAGATTTTATTTGCCAATTATGTGAAAACATATATTCAAAACACTGCAGAATAGAACATATAAATAAAATCATTTTATTTATTATTCTTTCTACTCATTTCCTGTTAAAAGAGCAAACTCAACCCTTCTCTTTAAGTGAGATTATAGACAACCAGAACGTTGATATAGCTTTCATAACTGAGTACAAGCTTACTGAACATTCTATAAGTTCTATCGGAAACATTCATCCAGATTATTGCTTATTCGTCACAAACTGTTGCCTGGGTGGAAACAAAATTCTGTTCTTTTGGATCACACGCCGTTAACGCAACTTCATATGGCTGAACACCTCGCATGGGAGCGAACTCAACGATAGTGTTGTGCTCAAGGGAACCAGACGTATTCATAGACGAATCACGATTTTGTGTGCAGTTTGCCGATCGAAGAATTGGTGAAAAGTATGACGCCGATAACATCGTCCAGCGAGATCTATAGGGAAGCGTTATGGTATGGGCGGACATTTATGATAATGGAAAACTAATCGGGTGATAGTTAATGGGAATCTCAACACTCAGCGTTATTGTGACAACATTGCCGGACATGTGGTCATTCTATTTATTCAGCAACATCGTGGATTTTGTCCCCAAAAAACATGCTTGCCGTAAAAGGCGACTATGCTTGTCGTAAAAGGGGGCTAACGGGATCGGATGGTCAGGCTCGCTGACTTGGTTGATGCATGTCACCGATCCCAATTGAGTGGATCGAGGCTCATGATATCAAACGCTGGATTGTCTGGTCCAGACTCGATTATTTGCAGGCTACCGTCATATAGCTGTAATATTGCTGAGTGCGGCGTTAAACAACAAACCAAACCAAACCAAAAAGACAATGTCCGGCCCATACAGCATGAATGACTCGTGATCTTCAGAGAAACCAAGTTTCTGTTTTGAACATGCCATCAAGATCTCCGGACCTTTGTCCGATAGAGCATGCATGTGATATCCTGTGGAGGCTATTAAGGGGAACATAGCTCTGATCCAGGCTGATGGTGCCGCCACACGTCACTGACATTTTGGTGTATCCACCCCCATCTTGACAAATGATTTCCCAAGGCTGTAAAAGTGACATGTCACCGTATAGGGGATGACTTTGCATTGTTAAGTGGTGTTTGATCAGATGTAATATATACATAAATATCATAATTGCGAAGTTTTTACTTTTTTACAATTGTTATGGTTCAGTATATAATAGTTTAAGGCAAGACTAATTTGTGTTTGTTTGTTGTTTGTCCATATATCATTTGTATATGTTGCTGAGAGACAGACAAACGCATTTTATGAACAGGTACTGTTTTCCATTACCCCTTTGCATCTTTGTTACTTTGATGAATTAATAATATGTCCGTGAAGTCCAAATATGCAGATGATATTGACCAGACCATGTCTGTGCATGGGCTAAGCCTCAATCTCGGAATAGCAACGGTTACAAGGGAGGTTAATGGGGCGTAGTGGGAATGTAGATAGATGATTTGGATAGTGATTTAAATACATAATGATTGATAAAATTTTGCTCATCGCACCTACCTAAGAACTGATAAATTTGATCTGAGATACACAAATGATATATTGTATTTCTGGCTCAGTTGATATGCAATGCAGTATGTCTTATTTGCTGAACAAATGTAATAATCTGGCTAGTAGTCAACGTTTTGTTTTCATTTGCGAAAGGTGGCTTTAACCTGGTCTCGTTGAATTTATGCCTTGCCTAGTTTAAAAACAATGACCAATACTATTCTAAAGTGCTACAATGAAGATGTGTTTGAATATAAATCCATATAAGAGTGGTACCAAGATATTAGACTATTGTATTCATGTCATGATAATAGTTTTGTCCAATTGCTTTCAAAAACACTTGAGCGACACTATTGGTTAATTTGTTCTGAATCAGAAGTAGATAACAGCAGTTAAACGTCTGTCAAGGTGTTATTTTATGAGAACAACACAAACAATAGTATTGTCCAATGCTTTAAAAATACTTCGCTTAGGCATTGTGTATTCTCGTGTGATGTTCGAGGGGGATACACTGACATCCTTGATGCGTCCTTACATTATGTTTGGCAGTATAAGCGTTGGGTAACTTACTATTTCCAGAGTCGCCGGGTGTGGTGTCTGTACATGGAGTCGTCTTGCATCCATCCTTACATATCTGATCCATACTACCGCGTGTAAAGCTGCACGGAGGACAATCATGCTCACAGTTCTGTCCATAGTAACCATCTCTGCAGGCAGTGCAGTCTCCAGTAGATTGGGTACATGTCAGGTACCGGGGGTCGCACTTGTTACTGCAGTTCTGTCCATACCGCCCGTCAAGACACGTGGTTTTAGAGCATGTCTTGTCTGTGTCACACCGGAATCCCTGGCACAACTCTTCACATGTGAGAGTACAGTTTGTACCATGAAAGGTATCCTTACAGCTAATACAGCTGCCGTTGAAACGTTCACACACTTGACAATTCACTGGACATGGGATTCTGCATGAGATGCCTCTGTATCCATCCACACATCCGTCAACACAAGAAGTACGACCAACTTCGTCAATGTTACATTGCTGGTTATTGCAAGTCATTGGACACGTATGCTGGCAACTGCTACCATAGAAACCGCGTGGGCATTGTCGATTCTGTATACCAACAACCACTGTCCCTGAAAGCAAAAACGTTATCGTAAAACAATTTAACAACTGAAACATACACGTCAACGCTACATGTCGATTATATCAGTACACATCACCACAGAACGTACGCTCATAAACAGTTAAGCTCTGATGCATGATTTCACAGGTACTTCATTAAAAAAAGCTAAGCAATAACATGTGTGCCTGTATCAAAACATAACAATACACCAAATTTAAACTAATTCGTATTGTGGAATGTGGTATGGATTTTAGCTGAGTAATTATATTTAAGAATTTTGTTAATTGTTTTGAGGATCTCAAGCTTCTTTTATAGCATTTTTTGTAACTGTGCATATGTGATATATTTTTATTATATATGTACAATAAACAAGGCATATCTTCATAAATAAAGTCAAAGTATTTGTTGTAATGCATGATTCAAAGAACTATAAACATACTCTACAGTTATTTTCAATTTTCGATTAGTCTGTTTTTAGATGCGTAAAAGGAACAAAGGCAAATTTGTAGCTAACATGTATTTCGATTTTTGACTTTGTAAACATATCACGTTTCAAAAGCTGAAAATGACAATGTGATAAATAGCTTCAAGACAATTTCTTTATTGTTTAATGTCGGTCTCTGCCTATGTTCTTATCAGGTTTGTTTACTACAGATCAACGTGTGACTTCATCAAATTGTAATGATTTTCACCAAACACATCCCTGATTTTAAGTTTCCTAGACATGTTTACAACATCCCCGTTTCTGAGGTACCAGTACACTACCAGACAGAGCTATACATATTCATGGATAGTAAGGAATACTTGACCGTGTATCTGCAGTTCCAGAGCGTCATGACTATAAGTCTTTACTTATAATCAATAATTTACCAATCAAACTTCACACATTTTATTACATTAATATGTTTAAACCATACCCTGTAGATGGGTAGACGGGGCCCTTTCGTCGTGTCAATATGAACCAACAATTAATTACTATGCACATTTTGTTACCGATACTTACATAAAACGACGCAACGCAAGCATCGACATCCATCCATGCTTGCAGAAATGCTGAAAATAAACACTAACATCAGATACAAAAAATGACAAAGAATATATACATTTTAAAAAAGAAAGCAAAATTTAATTTCATGGATGGATAGTTTCCCATGTCGGACTTCTACATGAAAATATGGTCTGCATGATCTTTGTTAACTTTGTTGTGTCACAACGGTTGACAGAGTTATTAGAGATGAACTTTGACATATTCATTATTTATTTCATGGTAGCCATTAATGCAGTTTTTACATGCAACTCATGGGATTTGTCACGTGTTACCAAAATCGCTTCAAAACTCCTAAGACATCTCAGCTAAATGCTAATTACGTATGAGCATGTGTTTATGAATCACTATCAAATTCAGTTGAATTTTGACTCTTATTGAAGACTCAATAATAATGCGAAATTAACGCTATTGGTGGACTTGAAGCTGATGAATCACAAGTATCAGTGTCAAGGTATTTCTCCGTTGCCCGGAGCACAATTTTCCAGAGTTTGGGCATGATATTGGTCATATGGCACAACTAGAGATCGTCCCGGATGAGAGAAAACTTACAGCAGTCCAGGATCGCGACGCCCAGAGAACCGTTCCATAAAACGAGCGTAGCGCAACGACAGTCTTGCGTCTATTTCAAAGCGTGTGGAGTTACGATCACTAAAGGACTACGGTAGTTTTGTATAACGGAACCCTGGCCCTTCACTGCAACCTACATTGCAAAACATATTCATGGTTTAATTACGAGCTGCCGGAATCCGATCACGAAAGACCTACGTTGACTTTATTTTACCTCAAAGCGGTTGCAGTGGTCTCGGTCACATTATGAGTAGCTTCAAGAACGTTGGCATAACATAATTGATATAGTGATCATCACGTTTACTTTTTCAAACGTGAAATGGGCGGATCCGCGTGTATACTGGCGACGGAATGAGCGTGATGTCGGATGTTGCGTTCATGAAGTCGACAGATTCGGTGGAGGTATCATGATGTGGGATGCTCTCTCTTGTGGGCGAAGAACAGCTCCTGCTTTTTTCCAGGGCAATGTAACAGGTTAGGACATTACTTTGTCCCGACTCTGCAAACACCAGGGGTCGGGGGTACTTGTTGTTACCATGACCGGCATAGAGGGGATAAAACAAGGATTGGTCGATTTGTATAGTATACTGAGTGGGGTATCCATGTTAAACTGCGGAATGGTATCTCAGCTAGGTTAGAACCTAACAGTTTTTGTCCACTAGTCCATATAATAACATATAGCAAAACCCCTTAAAATTGGCCTTTACTATTGGGCACTTTGGTAAGGACTACAGGACTAGTGCCAATTTCTAACGCTGATCTCAGTGGTCTTGCACGATGAAACAAGCATTAGTCCCGACTAGTATAAACAGCCACACATAGTCCATGCACGTCGATTTATACATTTATAGTAAACGACATTTCTCCGGACCAATTTCAAGCAGAATATATACACACTCACGTACGTAGGCACGCATGCACACACGCACGCAACCACGTCGCTATATAAGTGCTCTAATCTTAAAGGCGACGTAAACCCCATTTCATCACACCCAACTTGAGTGCTCTAAACGTACTAACATGGCCGTCAACCATCTGGACAGACGTTTACGTCAACGACTGCCACCGTGGTCTGGTGGATGGTCTGGACCGCCCGGAGTGCCGTGGTTCGATCTCTGGTCGCGTCATCCCTGGCGCTCGGCACTAATATGAAAATCAAGACCTGGTCGGCTCGGAGTATACTTTTTTCTGATTGGGACATCCACGCGGTGAGCGCGAACACACACACGCACGCACGCGCGCAGGCAGGCACGCACGCACGCACACACACTCTCTGAAAAATCTAGCTTCCAACTCGTTCCAACTTAGATGAGTGGAGCCTCATTTCTCGTTGGCTCTGTAGTTACATTCGACTCATGTGGATTATCTGCTATCATTACCGTTACGTTACATCATCTGTAGCGCTTTCAGTGTACATTTGGTGTTTGGAATTCAGCGCGTTATAGATACATTTCATCGTTTATCATCCGCTCAATTTCTGAGCACAGAGGATTCACGACGAGATTGCATCATTTGAGTCGAGTATGGAATTTCTAACGACTGTCCACTTTATCCAAGGGGCGCTACTCCCAGTTTACAAGACGAAGTTCAAGGTCATAAGTAGACACGGGGATGAATGTCGTTATGATGTTTTGGGCAAAATACTATTAGTGAAAATATCTGAACCTTTATAATTCCACCATGCATACTATATTTCGGATTTGTTCTTGAGTTATGCGATAAATCACAGGTGACACCCCAAAAATGTCAACAATACAGTTTGAGATCCATGCCCCAAAATGCCAACAATACAGTTTGAGATCCATGCCGATATGCGTAGTGTGTCTATATATTGCTGGTGTTTTGTGAAATAGTGAGGTGTCTATAGTGAGCAGGGAAGACGTTGCACCGTATAGTTGCACAGTAACCCTAACACCCCCATTCGAAAAACCAGCTGATGCCCAAAATAGTCCCGTCCGCGCGTGATGAAATCACAGAATGTTTAGTATAGTTATATTGTTATTAAACGGGTGAGCTTTACACGTAGATGTAACAAAACTAGATATTTGACAATGGTGAATCTGCATTCAAATCAAACCAAGAAACCTGCATATTTGTGTATAGGGAGAGGTTTAGGTATGATGACAACGTATATGAAAAGAGATGTTTATAATGTGTGTAATTTTTGGGTGCACCATGAGTTCAATAATGAATTCTGACACTCACAACAATTTTTGTGCTGAAAGCATCAATGGCTGTGTCCACTATCCAGTGTGTTCATCTCAACCTGTAAGAAATAAAAATAGACGTTACAGCGTCTTGAGTAAATGTCCACAAACATTTAGATTTCTCGGGCTTAAAAGTTGTTTCCTTTGTGACTGACGTCTTTTCAAACATTTTGTTTTACGAACACTGTCTAAAGTCGCCAGCTTGAATTAAGAATTATGCAACACAATTTATTATGTGTAACTAATCAAATCAAAACAGATAAGCCGTGTGGGTATTAAGGATCGTACCACTGTAAAAATCTGGCAAAATCTATCAATTGAAAGATCCATGTACAGTATAAAACACTCAGTTGTGATTTTACATACCGATTCATCTACAGGACCCTTATCAGCCTTCTTGTTTCTCTGCCTTTTGTGCCTGCGCCTGTGAATATTATTTAATTGATATTCATATAACATATGGCATTCCAGCTAAGTGTATTTCGTGACGAAATATAAACAATAAAACACTGTTTACAATAAAGAATTGTTAGACCATTAACTGGCACAGACCAGATTACATTGCACCAAGGCTTAATCATATTGTTTTAAATGGACCATTAACATCCTTTACATATGCTGACAAATGTATGCCAGTGACAAACAGCTTTCGCTTACGTTTGCAAAGTTTACAATAATTGCCTATATCCAGGTTTGAATGTGTTTACTTACCATATGACATATGCAAACAATCCTGTCAGTGCACACAAAAACACACTCACTATGATCAAGGGAACACTGAAACTGAGGCAGCTAGTGAAATCTGAAACTCAGAACAAACGGAACCATTTATCTACTGGATAACCTCAGTCGACATTTATAAATACAAGCAACTGCATTATGTTGCGGGGAAAGTTCGAACTTGTATCTACTTGAAAATCTGCATACAACTCTTACCACAATGTGTCTGCGTGATATTTGTATCAGGCTTGTTTGTTGGTGGCGTTGTAACTATACACGATGTCCCATTCTTGCACCCACTGGTACACTCGCCATCTACTTGGCTACAGATGTTGTTGATGCAGTTAGAGTTGCACTCTTTGCGACAGAAGGTATCATGATATCCCCCGTTACAACCTTCTAGACACTCTCCTGTAGTGAAATCACAGTGAATGATACCGTGAAAAGGGCGACAGTTA